GGAAAATAGATTTTTCAAGTTCAGTAGCTGTTAATCATTCTTTTCAGTATTGATGGGGCAACATTCTATACATTTTATTTGAAGTAGTAAGGAATGCTAACATATTGATTATGTCATTACTGTCTCTGGTGCTGTTGGTTGTCATCAACAGATGTGGATTCTGTTCTTTAGTTCAGTTCTTTCTTTGCGATTTGGTAGCATCAGTCCACAATGTTCAAAGACGGATGATCATTTCCAAAAAAACCCTGTCTTCACCCGCTCAAAGCCTTTTTTCACCCTTGATCTTAGAAAACGGCTGTATACACCTGACAGTTTCGATATGGGTTTGGCGTCATGTATGATATCTATATGAAAATCCCTATATGATAAGGCTGTTTACGAACATGACTCGAGTTTTCAGATTGATGTTTCGGTTTTGTAGCAATTTGCGGTATTGGGCGAAACTATCTCTGTTCAAATGCCTTTACACCTATACTAAATTTGTTATAAATGATCCACCCGACGAAATATCAGGTGTTTAATATTTACTAATTAACATCCTTAATTTAATTTAGTAACCCTTAATTTTTATGATGTAGTCATAGTATGTGCCATCACAGCTTGCATTCCAATTCCAGATCAGTAGATGCCGGACGACCGTTAGTCGGATACTAAAGTATCAGCGACTACAACTAGATTACTCTGCGTTATACTTATTATATGAAGTTCCTAACGTTTGTACGTCGAACCTATTTTAGGACCGACTTAGTACAAATACAAGCCTCCACTGTGAAATCACTCCATAACAAATCTGACGACGAGAATTCGAACTCATACGGAGGAGAAAAAAAATTCGTTCGCCTTATAACAAAAGGATTATCTTGAGTCCTATTTCTTAGAACACATGGTAGATGTTAATTTTCTGCTCAAGTTCATTTTTATCCCTACTATGAAAACCTATGTCATCAGCATATTCCCCCTCATCATTTGTACATTGGCCTCTAGAGGAGAAGCAGGAATACAGTCTTTTATTGGTAGATTCATTTGTGATGTCGTATGGCATGCTTAAATGGCAAATGTCCATCGTATCACATCTGTGTTTGTAAATGCACAGAATTTAGTCTAAGAAGACATTAAATAGGCAAGAACTCTTATTTCATCCTTGTTGTACTACTGCTGAGGCCTGAAAAGTTTCCATATTGTGGACACTTAAGAATATGGAGATTGATACAGTTCTATTAGATCGATGTATTCAGTGAATTCGGGCCTTAGAACGCGGTTTCTAATAGATGAGATGAAGTGTCTGTTGATGTGGTCATATGCTGCTGTCGGGGTTGACAAAGCAGGTATACAGTTTCCTATTAGAGAGGAAGCAATTTCGTGATGACATATATGCCATTACTGTATCCCTTCACTGATTTAAATGCCATAAATGAGACAAACTTGCGCGATCAAGTCTCTTAAGAGTCTTGATTGACGAGGCAGATGATTTTCCCGCAGTAGATAGAATGGTTCCCAATCAATTATATAAGACTCAGTCTGTTCTGCTATTCAGATCATAGATGCATTCATACCTTTCTTTCCCAAGGATATTTGCGCCTAAGTGAATTCGAACTCGGTTCTCTGATTTCACATTCCGAGTCGACATCCATTATACTACAGCGCGCATGCGTTGCATTCCTTACCAGAACGAAAGACAAACCTGTTCGTGAGGAGTTGACTTTCATAAAACGATGAGAGCCTACTTAATATAATGTTCATTAATACTTTCACCATGATGGATCTAATTGAGATACTTTTGTATGTGTCAGGGTTACCATAATTCCTTAATGCGTTATAAACCTTACTTTTCGGGGTTGCATTTGATTCCAGTATCTGGTTAATTTTTGCTCGCCTGTATGGTGTCATTTTGAAACTAACTCGGCTAAATATAGTCTGTCACAAGGTATAGGAAACTAAAGGAGAAACGCATTCTCTGTAGGAGTAATTATCTCTTACTTTGTGAATTACTTCCTAACAGAGATAAGTCTCTGTAAATATTTCCAAAGTTTAACTTAGTCTGTTTCATGGACACGATTTTAAGAACCATGAATAATGAACCCACTATAGTAGGAGTATTCTGCTAGACTCTGTTGCTTAACAAAGATGCGATCTTATGACCTCTGCTGACCTTAGCATTGTGGGTGATAGATTATATTTTATCTTACAACTCTTTTTCCACGGACGAAATGTCATAAGCGTCTCACTAATCTATCGCTATTACAGTGTAAAATGTTCAGACGAACTTCATTCTTTAGTTTCACTAGTTCTAACGTTTACGGCTAAGAATCGTCATACTACGCAAATTGTAGCGAATCACCCTTGTGTTCCATTGGTGCGATGTAAGTTCCACTCGAAGAGCTTCTTCCAACGAACCGACTCCAAGGGGAGTGCTTCCCGGATCACCACAATCTGAACCTGTCCAAATCTAAAGATAATCGCTATTTTATCTTTCCAACACATCCTTATTAACCATACTTCTTGCTTCTTACTCGTGGCTCTCGGGGCTTGTTAAGGGGGAAACTTATTGTAAAAAAAAGATGTGTGTGGGGAAATAGATAGCGGCTCGGTTTGAGAAATTGGAGAGCCGAGTTCGCATTCCAGTCGAATCAATTAGATTCACTTACGTGTTAATACCCTTGGGAAAGGTATGAATCCTCTTCTCCCCTTAGCTATGGGCAAGACTGGATTTTATAGCCTTGGATGGCCTACCGCAGAAAGAAATGGCAACCTACTGCGGAAAAAAAATCTGCCTCGTCAGTCATGTATCGATAGATGATGGCATAAGCGTGTATCACGCATGGCACATGACTGACTGAATGTCAATTATGTGGGAGATAAAATAAAAGTACTCTACATCTGCGAAGTATTCTGCAAGACGAGATTGTGAATCGTTATGTTATGGCCGGCTATTATTAAATTTAATGAGTTCGGTATTCAGTGGATCCGCCATACTTGTAATCTTTTGCTAGCCAACCTTAATCTGTGACACCTGGATATGGAGAAATGATCTGCGCCCCAATCTTAAAGATTATTGCTACGGTAGATGTTGAAACCTCTCCAGATGCCTGAAATACAGTCGACATTTAGCGTAAATTTATTAATATCTAAGGGCATACAACTGCTAGAAAAGGGAATCTAAAATTATGGCCTTTTACCAGACTACGTTTTCAACACATAGGTACGAATAGGCGTCAAAAATGTTTGTGGTCCCATCACTATTTCATCACTTTTTCAATTATATATGCATATTCAGAAAGGAATCAAAGCCGAAAATAATGGAACGATTAAGAATGAATAAAAATAGTATATGTCTGGAAAAACAGAAATCAAAATAGCTACAAATGAAAAAAAAAGAGGAAAAAAAGAAAAAATGAGATAAAAGGTAAAAGAACAAAACAAACAAAAGCAATCATGAGTCAGTGTAAAGTGAAAAAAAAAAAAAAAAAAAACGGCGAAAAGGACAAATAACCACGACATTCTACACGGTATCTTATACACGGATACGGGTGCATGGGTGCACTAGCACGAACATAACCACGCCCGCACACATGCACTACGAACAAAAATTGCAGCAATAAAAAGTGCATATAAAAAAAAAATCGATAAGTATAAGCAGTCAATTGTAGATACCCACTGTCGAGTGGACGGAATGATTCCCGAAAGTTCGACTACGAAACTATGGAGTCGGAATGCTCTATTAACCGAATATATATATATATATATATATATATATATATATATATATATTAATTGATTTAAAATATGTTTTTTTTCGCTACACAGTTCTAACCATGTTCGAAAAAACATATTTTAAATCAATTAATTTATAATATTAATGCTCTGTAAATTTACATTCAGCACTATTTTTAAAAAAAAAAAATATCTATAAGAACACCGGATTATATATCTTACTGTTCTTTTCTTTTATATATATATATATATATATATATATATATATATATATATATATATATATGGGAGAGAGAGAGAAATCTAAATAAACTTGGATAGATAGATTACACGCTAAAGCATATATATATATATATATATATATATATATATATATATATATATATACATGTGTGTGTGTGTGTGTGTTTATATGATCTCTGTGTATATATAAATGTATACGCAGAAAGATAGCGAGAGAGTGAAAGGGATATCCATTAATAAAATTAGATCGACAGATACGAACAGACTGAGATAGAAAAATAGACTGATAGGTCTGAATAAACACAGCTAGATAGATAGATAGATAGATAGATAGATAGATAGATAGATATGAATAGATTTGAAACTCGAACTATCACCAATCCCGATGAACGGATCTCTCCACGGAAAGGCATCGTGACTCGAGAGACTATTGGGCCATAAACTCACACCTAACCTCAAGTGAAACTCGTACATAAGAGCCATCACTAAAGATGCAGGTAAAATCGTCGACTCCCTGTACCTGACTCCACGTGCTATCCCCTACTTTTACAAGAGCTAGATCAGGCCAAGAATGGAGTATTTGGGCGGGAACTGCCCAGACCGTACCCTCCAGCCTCGATAGAGTCGAAAAGCATCTCTGTGTCCTTGTGGGTGACAAATTATTTTCCACCTTCCAACCTCTCTCTCATAGGCGGAATATGGCGAGCCTTTCGCAGCTCTATCGCCACTTTTACGGTAAGTGCTCTGACGAACTACATTCCTTCGTTCTTCCTGGTCTAACATTCAAGGCCATGCCATGTTAATTCATATTTTAGCAAACCACCCACATTCCCTCTGTATTCCATCGGTGAGAATAAGTTCCACTCGAACAGCTTCTACCTACGCACCGCTGCTCTCTGGAACTGACTCCCAAGAGGATTTTTCTCCGATCACTAATATCTAGGGTTAACCATTATTTCCCCCTCCTATCCGTACAAAATGCTCCTAACGTAACCTTCTACATCGAGTGCCCCCGGTCCTTGTACAGGGTCAGCCTCACTGTAAAAAAGAGATAGATAGATAGATAGATAGAGAGAGAGAGAGAGAGAGAGAGAGAGAGAGATAGAGAGAGAGAGAGAGAGAGAAAGAGAGAGGGAGGGAGGAGGGGAGAGAATAAAATAGTAAAATAATACTTAAATAAGTACTTCGTGTTAACGAAATTTAAATCTGACATGAAGCAGCGTAAAATTAGTATCGAAATAATAAAATCTAGTTTAAATCCTCTTAAACCTTTTCTTTTGAAGCGATCCTTTTCAGAAATTTCAGAGATTAGTGGTTCTGATATTAAAATTGCACTCGTAAGTGGAGCAGAGTTAATGCAATGGAGTCGATGTCACGTGTTTAAATTTTGTTGCTAAATAACAGCCTCAATCGCCGGAAGTAGGCTGTGTCGGGAACAGCCAAGCGGCGGGAACCGGATCAGACCATAGAAATAGCTGGCTCTTTAGCTTGTTGGGTTTTGCTCCATATAGTGGAGTTGTATCTTTACAATACGTCTAAAAATATGAATATACATGTAAAATGATAAACTCAAGTGTCTATATAACGCTGTAGTGTGTCCCAATCAAGGATGAAAGATTTAAATCAACAAACTGCTCTGTTGAAATTATAACGTTCCAGTAACTTCCTTGAATTATTTCTGTCTCTATAGCGCCATCGTGCGGGAGTTCCTGCCCATTTTGAGAATCACTGGTACAATATAAGAATTGACCGAAATTTAATATATGCACTTGTGTTTTAAGTACAAGTGAATTGTGACTGGGTCCTTAAGTTTGATCAAGCATGTAATGGCCGTGTGCTTACTGTTTATACTATACAATCTCATGACAGATGAAGAAGAGACTGTGGTTCTACCAAAGGATGCTGAGAATATCATGGACTGATCATGTAAGCAACGATGAAGTTTTAGACGAAATGGAAGCAAAAAGGACAACTATACTTAACCTCAGGAAGATAGAGTTGAAAATTTCTGGGGTACATAATGAGGAAATAGGGCTTGGAAAATTAGATACTCACAGGACATATTGAAGGCAAGAGGGACAAAGGAAAACCTACTCAGCAAGCTTAAGTAAATGGATGACGGAGAAAGGTTTAGGAGAGATAACAAAAAAAAATTATTAAGAGCTACAAAGATCAAGAAATTTTGAAACGCCATGATCTTAAACGTCTTGATGGGATACGGCATATAAAAGAATTAGTGTTTACTAACAGCTGCAAATTGATGGTGTGTGTGGCAATATATTTTATTTGTTATATATGAAGTCCTGTGAACCATTATTCATTTTTTTCTTGTATTTTTCTTTCAGCATAATCTTAGTTGATTTCCGTCGCAATTACCCAGAGCACCATACCAGTCTAGAGTCTGATAATGCCAAAAACGATATACTGTTACCATATATGGGAAGGAGCTGCTAGCCTTCACTTTCCTGTCTTGATAGAGTCCAACGTAGTCTTGTGGGTGATAAAGTAATTTTCATTCTACAACCTCCTTTCCCACAGTCGCTGTTCTATCGCTATTTTGCATAGAAAGTGTTCAGACTAACAACATTCCTTAGTTTTTCCAGTTCTAACCTTCCCGAGAATAAATGTACCATTGCCTTTTCCGAGGAAGTTAGGATAAAGTGGCCGCAACCGACTAGGACGGAAACTGAACTCAGGTCTGTCTATATTTCTGAGATGAGGTATTATGTACAGTATTTACATTGGTCGGACTATCGTCCTCATCTCCGCCGCCACATCTGTCACAACGTTTATCCACTGTGCCATGTGTCCTCAAGGACACATGGCACAGTGGATAAAGGCGTTGGTTAGATCCAGTGACAGACCCAAAGAAGCTGATTTCAATTCCTGGTTAAGGCAGTGGAGAACTTTCAGAGGGAAAATTAGCAGGAGATAACTGATAACTGACATCCATAAAATAAAATATGGCATGTGGAACTAGAACAGTCTACCCCAGTGATCGAAATAAAGGGTTCAGTTCGAAATTCCAACCACCTGAAGAAGGTCGGAGGGTACAACGGCCGAAACGTTGTGACAGATGTGGCGGCGGAGATGAGGACAATAGTCCGACTAATGTAAATACTGAACTCAGGTCCTCGACAAAATCCAGAGACGGATATGTTATGTGATTCGCCCTGATCTGGCATCTCGTTTACAGTCGCTCTCTCAAAGACGTGTCGTCGCTTCCCTCTGTCTTTTCTACAAATATTTCAAGGTAACTGCTCCGACGAGATACTTTCGCTAGTTCCCAAACTGCATGAATTTAAACGTGGTACTAGGTTGGCATCTCAGTCTCACCCTTTCATTGTCCAAACGCTTAAATATAACCGTCTCTTCTACTTCTGTCTCGCACTTCCCGTCTGTGGAACTCCTTTCATCTTACTTGCTTCCTGATAGCTATAATCTCCAAATATTCAAATGTAATATCAATCGACATTGACCTATTCCCCGTCCTTCTCTTCATCATTTCCTTTATTTGTTTTTTTTTACTCTTGCTGTTTTTACTCTCTCTGTACCGTTTTGCGTGCTAGTGGCACTCCCGCCTAATTTGGGTTGAAATAAAAAAAACAGTTTGTTTTTTATCAGAGACAATACCTGTTACGCTACCAACAATTTCTGAAGAACAAATCTCCAGTTACTATGTTTCATTAAAAGGGATCACAAATGAGTGAGAATGGAACAAATTGGGTGATTTGGATCCATCCCCGAAGAACGTTAGTTAAGTAAAGATACTTTGCCACAGCCGTAATTCGAACTAAATAAATTATGCGCTGACTTTTTTTTTGTTAGATTTTGCGAGTCCACAATTGAATTAGAACACAGATAAAAGCAGTGGGGCGGAAATCTGGAAGCACATATATACATGCTGAGAGTTTCCCAAATATATTTTCAATCAAACTCTATGCTTTTCTATTATTTAAGAACACAAACTTGAAAATACACACAACTTCAAAAATATGATAAAAAATATTATATACAAAGCAACTGTGGGATCTTAAAAGTTATTTCTTGGTGTATCATAGGTGTGTGCGTGTTCATAATTAAAGAAGAAACATACAAAAACTTCGGTTTCTATTAGAGATCGTTTATTCTCCTTTTTCCTATAAAACAATGTACTCAATGTCTCTTGGGTATACCAGTTATCTTTTTGGTCCAGATTTCGGGTAATTATAAGCATCGTTTTAATGGCCTCGATCAAGTTGGTTCAAGCATGGATATAAGGACTCGAGCTCAAGTCAGCCTTGCGCTGAGTTGCAACGACCAAAGTAAACATTGAATTACTTCATGTGTGGACGTTTTGGAAGACACATGCAAACGCCATGCGTTGGAAAGTGGAAAAAGTTCAGTCGTCAATGGACCGGAGAAAGGAACATGACCCAGCGTGGCCGGCCTTGAAGCAAGAGGGAAAAAGGAAGAGGAAGGAATACAATTAAATATTCCCGCCTAATGAGACAACTTGAACGAAATAAAAAGGCAGTTTTAATAACATTTCTAGTTTCTTTATTACTAGCATCATGGGAACATGTATTTCTTATTCTATTTTTATTCATCATTATTATTATTTCTTTTAATCCCCCCTCTTTTCAAATCACTCTCTCTCCTCTCTCTATATATATATATATATATATATATATATGTGTGTGTACAAATATGTAAATTTTATATTATATTATATATATATATATATATATATATATATATATATATATATATATATATAATATATATATATATATATATATATATATATATATATATATATATATATATATATATATATATTACAGTTTTTTACGGTGGACTGGTCATGTCTTGAGAATGTCTGATGACAGGATACCTAAGATCCTAATGTACAGCCAGTTAGTTTAGGACTTGAGGAATTTAGATATAAAGACAAGCTGCCAATAAAACCTCATAACATCCTCGAGTGCTTTGGGGAGAAAAGATCTAAAAAGTCAGCCAATCTAACAGTGATCTCATTCCGTAATCCTCGCTCCACATGTGGCCTCCTTTGTAAATCACTAGCAGGTCTTAAGTGCCACTTAACTGAATCAATTAAGTTGTCATATCTCCATACGTCGAAACCGACGCGAGAGTCCATTATATATATATATATATATATATATATGGATGGATATATTTAAATATTTTCTATATTTATCAGAGAAGAGTTATAACATGCAGACAGAGAAATGGTGACTGGCATGTTTACGTTGTGTTGATAGATTTGTCAATATGGACGATTTTAGCCTTTTTTAGTGATAATAAGAAATCATTGCGATCAATTTAAATACAGTTTGAAATATAACAAAATTTTTTGCCTATCAGAAATGTTAAATTTAATCTGTTAGTCTGAAATTAAAACTAAAGTAAAAGCTTCATGACACATTTTCCACTTAATTCATTTATACCATGGTTTAGACTCTCCTTTGAAGATGCATATTAAATATATATATATATATATATATATATATATATATATATGTGTGTGTGTGTGTGTGTGTTTGTGAGGGTTTTTTCATGTGTGACATTGATTAAAACCAAATGTGTTTCATGTATGGAGGTTTTTAAATTTTTTAGATAAATAGTAGCTTATCTGTTGATTACTGAAACCATATATATTTTATAATAGCTTTTCATGTATGTTATATAAGTGTTTACAAGCGTATGTATTTGTTTGCTAATATGCAATATATACTTGTATACTTTTAGCGTATAAGTAGGTATGTGACGACATCAGTTTAATCCAATTACATTTTGCAATTGAGAAAACTTTGAGAGCACATGTTCTTTAATTTTTTTGTCTAAAAAATGTTAGCAAAAAATTTATAAAAATACATTAAATAAAAAATGAATCAAAATTTAAATTTTTGTTTATAGAGTAAATTTAACTGAATATATCAATCTATCACAGAGGTCTTTAAAAATTTATAATTACTTTCCAATTTTGAAATTTAAATTTATCATAGTTGCTAACCAAACGGCAATATATATATATATATATATTTGATATATATATATATATATATATATATATATATATATATATATTAAAAAAAAATAACCACAAAAAATATTAAGAAAATTAAAATTGAAATACCATTGTCAAAAGTTCTTACCATTTATTTTTAAAATTAAATGTTTTGACCAATAAAACAACTGTAATATAAAATA